CTGCTAGCATAATTGATGATTGATCCAGAAAACTTGGACTCCTAATCGAAAGTAAAAGACAAAACAAATGGCCAACCTGTAACTTCACCAGTATCTGATCCTTCTCTTCTGTCAAAACTTGCACTTCTTTTTGAAGATCAGCAATGGTTGATTTATGGCATGTTTTTTCTTGTAACAAAGACTATTAAAAATAAATTCAGTGTAATCTACTGAAAGGCTGATGGCAACAACAGAACATAATTTGCTGCAATATTTACTTTTCAGAAAAAAATTCTTAATTACAACCTGTATATACATGCATACATGTATATATACCTGGAATTTTTTTTCCTGGTCTTGGACTTGCTGTTGAGCCCCACAAAGTCTGTTTTCAAGTTCTGTTCTCTCTGATAAGAGCCTTGATATCTATAATGAAATAATATTTGAGAACTTCCTTTGCTGTCTAAACCCTAAATTACTCATACAGTCATATTCATGTAGGAGGGAAAGGAAACAGCCAAATAATTGATTTAATTAATTGTGTCTGCATCAAGTACCATACAATTCCAAAAATAAGCCCCGGGAGTTATATTTTTCAAAGGACCTTTTTGAGGGGCTTATTTTTGGAGGGGCTTATATTCGGAGGGAAATTTGCGTGTCAAAATCGGTTGGGCTAGCCTTATAGTTGGAAGGAAATTTTGCATTTGAAGGCAATTTCCAAGCCCCCCGGGGGGTTTATATTTGGAGGGGTGATTTAACACAGGTGTTTTTGCGTTACAAGTTTGGGGGGCTTATATTTGGAGGGGTTATACATGGAGGGGCTTATTTTCGGAATTTTACGGTATGTTTTGTACTGCGGATTAAATTTTTCAGTGAGGACCCATAAATTTAGGGGTCAACAAAACCTGACTCAGCTCAGGCCGGCTGTTGCTCACTTAGAATGACAATATGTAGGTATTTGGAATATGGTTATAGGGGCTGATATTATCCAGGATGCCTTGAAGTCACTGATATACTTGAATTAAAATCCTCATTGAAAACATCAACAGTACCTCTTCTCATTAGCCTTTATTATTTTTATTTATTTATTAAATACGTGCAGCTAAATACTAATCTTTAATATTTGAATCAACTAGCATATCATGATCGCATCTGCTCAAGTTTAATAGGCCTGCAAAGCTACATACATGCCTGGCTCGGGATGTCTCAAGCTCCACGAATCAAGCTTGCCTAAATTTCAGGCCTCAAGCAAAAGATACCAGAACTTAGGTCATCCTTCAATGCCACTAGAAGACCCAAGTGTCAGGCAACATTTGGAAGAGACCATTATGTTGTGCATCGTCCTTTTTTAGGTTTGTCCATAAGGCTACGTTCACATAGTGCTGGTTGAATTTCTGATTTGTACATCCAATATCTGTTTGCAATCTTCCTCTCGTAACCACACATCCATGCAACCATGTCTCTGCTGGACTAAAATTTAGCCGGTCACGATGACACCTTGCTGTTCAAATTTTTGACTGTACCAGTAAAAAATATGACCTTGATTTTAGCGTTCACATTTTTAAACGGTTAGGCATTCAAATCCTTTTACAGTTAGGGTGGTTCTGTGTGAATGGAACATCTAAAAGTACAAATTCTCAACAGGTCGAAAATTTGACTAGTATCAAGTGAACGTAGCCTAAATCTGATATTACATAGAATAAACAGGTGCTGACACAACTTAGTTATTACCTCATTTTCTAATGCTGATTGATCCTCTTTTGGGTTTGGAGTGGAGGAAGACATTTTCCTGCTTTTACGAAATGGCAGAGGAGTGGCGAATTCCTGGTAAAGATAGGGAAGAATCTTAAACAGCTTAAAAAACAGTGAATTTTTATTAATAATTCAAAGAGATGTAAAATTATAGTTATTGTTCAACATGGTAATGAGAAATCTTCATTCAAGACCTCTTTATTCTACTTACAAAGCCACTGCATTTGGTGCCATTTTGACTTGAGTTGCTGCAAGTACTGGCATCTAGAACATTCAGGATTGAGAAATAAGTTAGGCTTCAGAGCATTACACTGAGAAAACAATATCATGTGCATGAAGACTCAGCACAGGGCTGTTGCTAAGATTTTTATTTGCTGGGTATATGCAAAGGAGGGGGAATTTTGATAACATCTGTTCACAGTTCTTTTGGTTCTATTCAATTATCTTTTTGTTTGCTTATTAAAGTAGCCTGGGAACATGCTCATAGAAGCCAGGAAAATTCCCAGCCGACACGGCCTTAGTGACAACCCTGCAAAGTGTCTTGAACTAAATTTCATATTAAGTACATGTAAATTTAACCTTCCTTAATGCTCCCTATTTTATGATCATGACATATATTTTTTAACTAACCAATGCACACATGTGAAGGAGGGAGTATTTTCCTGACAACTTTTGGGATTACCCAACTGGACTTTTCCTTTGTATTTAAGCTCTCATAAAAAACCACTCAGAGTCTTATTCATAAAAATCAACACTTTAGTTCAACTGCACACTGTGCTTATGGTTAGTCGATAAAGATCTTAGGGTTATTTTGGTCTAAAAAAATTGGACATAAAGTGTTAGTGGTTGTCTATATCAGATATATAGACACTCAACATGTAACATTAATTTCTTTTTGTTTTTTTCTTTATGAATTATTGACGAGATTCTTAAGCTCTCATAAGCAGCCATTCACCCTCAATTGTTTTACCATGTGTGCGGTTACAACCACTTTTTCGAATTTCCAGGGTGGTCGCTTATGAGAGCATGATCATTTGTACTGTACAACAAGTGGCCAAGAACTACATGTAAATCTTCTAAGGTTGAAAAAACGCCAGCAAAATAACTTTTTTATCATCAGAATGCCCAACCATTCTAGTATACAGTAAATAGGCTATAATAGTTGATTATGTTGCTAAAATCATCATTATGATAATTATTTTGCTCACCAAGCAAGCTACTGTTAGCGACTGGTCCTGGTCCAGTATCTAAAACAACACAAGAGAATGATGTGTATTTTTATGTCGTTCACTAACAAGTTAACATTAATAACATTTAGAGACATGGGAGTAAATTAGTCCCAAGTATATTGACAGCACTCTGTACGGTATTGTTATTTTGTCATCTGGGTTCACATTATGTTGGGAAATTTGTTTTATTCTACATGTTAATCATTTTTTGCACGTGCTTGTCTTCTGTTGTGATTATACTACAGTTCAGAAATAAGTGACCACAAAATGATGTGCTTCGAATTTGTTACTGAAGGTGCATTGTAGAAAAGCGTTGTTGGCTACCTCCTTATCTACTGAAGGCATCTAGGGGTGGGTTTTTGTACCTGGCAGGACACTAGGGTGAAACCCTTGGAACCAAAAGTTGTAATTTAATAGCAAGGATACAGATGATGCCAATTTTTATGATACAGTCTGCTTTAGATAAATGATGCATTAATGTTTCATCCTCAGTTCAATTTGGTACTTTTGACATTGATTGTCGTATCAGTGGAGTGATAGTACTATAAAATAACTAACTTGACATTTTGTTCATTATTTTGAAGTCAGTGGACTGATGGTTTAACCATTCAAGAAATGCTTCTTAGTTTCCAGACAAACCTTTCAATTCTGCAAATCGCTTTCCCTTTCCAAACCCAGGTGCTGTACCATGTCTCTGGGTTTTGATTTCATACGATCCAACTGGGGGAGCTTGAGATACTACAATTAAAAACAACTTTCAGTTCTGGATTGTGCTCTCTGACAATCAAATCATGATGGTGATAAACACAATATTAAAGTCGAGGGAGGATTAAGTAAAAATCCAACTGAGATTTTGGATTTATGTGTACTGATGATGAGCAATACATTGCCTGCGATCATGTTGCACAATTAAAGAAACACCTGGCTGTGACAAGACATGTAATGAACCTGACAAAATAAAATTTAAGCCTACAGCTGTAAATATACTGTAACAATGTCTATAATAAGCAATCAACCTGATTTGAAATTACCGTGGTATTAATTAATACAGGTACTGTACATGTATGTCATATAATTATGTATCTTGGTCAAGAACTAACCAAGATACAATGCATAGGCAACTCTCTATCAGGTTAATTAATTTCATGAGTAAGGCTTGTTCCAATTTTCGATCCCCTGCGAGCAGAGGCCCTTTGTTATCCCAAATTAAACTTTAAAAGATGCAAAGGCCTCTGCTCGCAGGGTAAACAATAATCAGAATAATAGGCACCAGAATCTGATAAACAGAAGTCTGGCAATTCGAAAATTCTTTTCTTAACAGCAGTGTAGGGTGCAAGAGACTCTCAACGAAAAACTGCAAGTTATGACTGGATTCCTGAACTGCAAAACTGATTCATTTCATCCGTAGTAATATGGAGACATATAGAGAGTGGAGCAAAGTTGAGCAGTTAAAGAGAAATACAGGAAATAAATCTCAAGACAGTGAGGAGAATTCTTCTTTCGAAGCTGGGTTAAACGTAAAAATGTCTGCATTTTTTCAAGCCAGTTTCAAAGTTGGCGGCCATATGTTGTGGAGACCGACACACGATCTATCATCCTGCAATAATCCTGCACGATTTTTATATTTTCCCGTCTTACCGGTGTCTTGAAACCTCTTGGCCTTTGGAAACATATTGTTAACTGCAATAACGCAAATTATGACAAAATCCGGGGCGAAAATTGGAGGCGATCGACGAATTTCTTTTGAATAGAAATGGCTGTAGTGAAAATGAAATGGATGTGCTGTTCGTTGGGAAGTGTAGATTTCAAACGGCAGCCAATCAGAACAAGGTATTTTTCGCTTGCCTCGATTTCGTTTTGATCATTGACTTTCCCGCGAGATTTGACTCGAAAATTAAATGTTGCCGTGCTGTTTTCGGATTGAAAAAAAAGACAAAAATAAAGTCAAAGTAAGCTATATTTTTGTTATTTTTCCCGGCGAAGAAATAATTTTCATTCTATTATTCAAGTCTTCGGGGTTAAGAATCGAGAAAAAAGACCCCATCACAGACACTGAAACATACTTTACTTCTACTTTTTTGAAAGGAAAAGGAAAATATAATTTTGATCCGAACACGTATTTTCAGCTACATATTTTTCTTCTAGTTTATCTTTGCTCGCCGCCGAAATTCGAACTTTTGACATTTCTAAATAAAAACCAATCATATTCCACGATTATTCCACGTGATTCGTGTCTGACCAATCGTTGCTTGAATTTGTTATTAGTTTTGATTGGCTGATTGAGGATTATCTTACCAACAAGATGGCGTCCTTCCCGTTTGAAAGTGTTTTCAGTGTTCACAATCGATGTTTGTTGTTCTTTCGAGGCATTTGAAAATGTGATTGCGTTGCTTTTTAAGTCAACTGATCAAACATAAATATGCCGAGGTCTGAAAGAAGGATTTTGAATGTCTAGCGAGCATCTTGAGCTTGGTAGTTTTAATTAATCGACCTTGACCTTCGGCTTCGTCATGACTTCCAGTTTTCGAGATGAAGATTACATCAAATTTCTGCAAGATCAAGGTACATTTATACACTTTTTTACTTATAATATCCATAAGAAATCGATGTATTTTTTGTATAAGTAAGTGAGAAACCAGGATTGATGTATGTTCAAAACAGTAGGAGTATTTGTTTTAACACCTGTTGATAGTATATAATAACAGGCCAAGATAAAAGGAAGTGTTTTATAAACAGTTTACATTATAAACATACCTACTCTGAAATTCATTACAAGCGTTAATCACTTGGAGTTGATACAATTTTTAACTCGAAGTTGAATCGCACTAATCAGGGTGAACAGTTGATAAAACGTGTGAGTTTGTCACCTATAAATTGACATTGGACGGTGTTTATTTCATCATCAAGCTTGTTTCTTTTTCACTATAAAAAATGTGGACAATCTGGTTTCTTTTCTTTGCAGTTAGGAGACTAAATACCGTACTCGAGGAATATCAAAAGAAGTACTTACCAGTCAAAGAACCGGAAGTTAAGGTATGATAACACTGCAATAAAAATAGTTAACTTAAACTGACTAAACTTTACTTACAGTTAAGGTAATAAAATCATTGTAAATTTCTGCCGTGATTGACTGATTTTCCAAGTATTTTTGTTCTGATTTTGCGAAGCAAAGAATTTTTTTTGAGCTATAACGGATGTTGGTAAGAGCTGGCTTAGCATGTTGTGGACTGCAAAAAAGTGATGTGCACCTTATTATTATGAATATTGTTGTAAAAATTGTTTTCACAAGGACCCTATACTACTTACTGTATCTGAGAGCCTGACTAGCTGCTGGCCAATTTTACGAGCTAAAATAGGGCATAACATTACGCTGACTCAAATTTCTCTGGAAAACAAAGAAATGGGGTATTTTTCCAGGTTGAAGGTGCAATTGAGTTGAAAAGCCGCCTTGGGTAGTAAATTATCAGTTATCAATTTATTGCGTGGAAAAAATAATGGCATGTTGTTAGAAAGTCTGTGTTTTAGAACAAACAAGACTAGGGGATTGATCAATTATGGTAGCGTCCTATGGAACAACCTTCCTTTGCCATTAAGGCAAGCTAAAAACATTGATTCTTCTAAGCATTTAGTTAAGACTCATTTATTTTCTAGTTATTTTTATCCTTAAAGACTAGTTAATAGTTTTAATAACTTATTAATTTTTGTGAGGTTTTAAACTGTAATGTGCTTTTGATTATTTATATACATGTAGTAAAGGCCCACTATAAAATAAATGCTGTGGTTTTAAAAGGCCCCACTCCCCCCCCCCCCCCCCCCCCCGGAGATTGCGGAGCTCCCCACTTTCCCCTAACCAAAAAACAAAGCGCGCTGACTCTACCCCCCCTCCCCTCAAGTGCCAGCTGGGAGGGGCACAAAGCCGAGTGGCAGACTTACCATATACAAAGAAAAAACTAGGTATAACCAGCATCTAAGTTACCACAGGCAAGTGAAAAAACTGGGGAGCAAAAATTTATATTGAGAAATTTTACATTTTTTGGTGTTTTTAAAATTTTATTTGTTTTTTGATTTTTTTATATATTGAGGAAAAGGCCCATTTAAAAAAAAAGCCTGGGTTTTAAAAAGGCCCCCCCCCCCCCCCCCCCCCCTCCTCAATGGATGGCTGAGATCCATCTGCTTCCATAAGTACAAACAACAGGTTGTAGTTACTAGCCTACCCATTTCTGGGTACAGGTATGGAGTGAGTCATGAGAAGATGCTTGAAATTTTCAAATTCAAGTACATCTAGTGATTAAGCTATGTATAGGTTGTAAGAGATGAAAGTATTGAATGATGGCAAAAACTGTTCATATTGAAAGATGACAGAGAGATGAGAGAGGCACAAAAAGCCGCTCCCAAAGCCAGAATGATGAAAGAATTTCACTGTGGTTTTTTAGGTATTTTTTTAACAATAAATTGGAAAATAATATTAGAATTTCCAATGTTCCACTTTAGCTCTGGAAGCTAGAAAAACATGTCACTTGTAAATACGATTCTTGATTTTTTGTAGTAGTTGTTTAAAGTCAATGCCCTTGTAAACATTGGATAATGCAATTATTAATTTGGTCATTCTGGCTTTAGGAGCATTATCTAATTAATTTCTTTTTTTTCATGAGCTTGACTGTTGTTTTTGGTATCTTGTGAATTTGTGTGTTGACGCTAAATGTGCTGAACTCCACAAAACAATGCTGTATGCTATAATTTTACTTTCAACTCAGTGGTTTTATTGATTAAACTTCCACAGGCTGATGACCCTCTTCCACCATGGATCACAAACTCCGGGTAATCTTGTATATAACAACCCTGTATATAGCGGTCACCCTGTATATTACAGTCACCGGACAACTTCCCAAAATTTTCAGTGGCCTTAAATTTTCTGCAAAGTTGACCTGACGTTTATAAGTTGTCACCCTGTATAATAACAGTCACCTTGCCATTTCCAAAGGGTGACTGTTGTAGACCGGTTTGACTGTACATTGTACATGTTATTACACAATGTAAGCAGACCAGTATTATGTTGGATTGGTGCACTCTGGCCTCAGTAAAAACGGGATAAAGTTTTATTATATACATCAAATACCCTGTTTACAGGCAGCCATTATGACACCTGAACAGTGCTCGACTTTCAGAAAAAAATCTTGGGGCCAGCTGGCCCCCAAGTTTTCATTTTTTGTCACCAGAACAAGTATTCTGTTGCCAAAAATTATATTTAAGATTTAATGGAATTAGTTTTGTGAAGGATAACAGATTATCATTAGTGTACGTTTTCCCAAAGAAGAGAGTCGCCTATATTGGGGGCCAGGTTGGCGACCAGGCAAGAAAATTTGGTCACCACTGAGTAAAAGCTGGTTGCATTGGTGACCCCACAGGTCGCAACGTCGAGCCCTGCTGAAGGAGGATCATGAGGTTACACCTATATTAAGATCTCTCCTCACAGATACACTATGTAACCCATCAGGCCAGGAAAGGTTGCAGCCATACCACCGGAATGTACGTCCCCTACTCTTTTTGAACATTGGTATGGGTTCTTTTACATCCCAGAAGAACCAGATAAGTCAAAGTGCTGCAAGACAGACCTACACTTTTTCGTCTTTATCTGAGAAGACTATAAGGTCTATAAAGAGTTTGCAGATGTCGTTACAAAGGCAGCACTTTTTTCCCAGTTATTTAAAGATCCTGAGTGTTGGTCTAGCCAGGGTTGGAACCCATGACCCCCTTCTCAGCAGGCCGGCGCTCTTCCAACCGAGTCAACAAGATGGCAACACATCTGCAGCTCAGGCTATAGTAAAGCTATGTGCAAACAGATGCAACAACTCCCAACATTGTTGGTCCAGCAATTTTGGAAGTTGTTGTGTCCTTTTGCACAAAGCTTAAAATTTGACTGGTTGCAAACTTTGCACAACAACTCCCAACAACATACAACAGCATGCAACAGGCCGTGCAAACAGAGTTGTTGGCCAACAATGTTGCGTCTCTTTGCATGGGGCAATGGTTATCACGAACAAGTTAATTTTGACCTCCTCTGCAATGCTGCCAAATCTTGGTTAACCAGATTTGCTATAAGAGTACTAATCAGCAGAGTAATAATAAATATTTTATCACTCATACTGGTCTGCCGCTGATGAACCTCTCCTTACTCATATGGCTAGAGTAATAACATTAATAATATTAAAATAATAGTGACTGACAGTAATAGTTTGATTTTGCCACTTTAACATTACTACTTTCACCACTTACTTAATAATTCAGTCTGACAGTATCAAGACTGTTTTTTCCCTCTTTCTTCTTTCCCCAGCATTTTGTCTCCTCTTCTGGCAGAGTATGACAGCAGCATTAAATCCTCTCAAGAACAAGTTTTTTTCTTGAAGGTATGAAATTTTCATGGTCATTATGAGGACAGGTACTGCCGTAATACTCTACATTACTTTTCATGCATGCAGTGTAAATGAGGCAAGTGACTAGCGAAGCTATAAAAAAGGGTAAGATGCCACAGACAATGTTCTCCTGTAGAAGCCGTATCTTTGTATCATCTTATGTGGGGTGCTCTTGTTGTACTGTAGCTGTGATTTTCCCCCTTCTCATCTCACCCTGGTTTCAATTCCCTCTACTGGTTTTCCAGTGTGACTGTACCTGGTCATTGCTTCTCTCAGAATAGTCATCAGTGCATCACTAATTAAAAGATTTCAAGTTCGCAAGTACATACAACAAGTAGGAAGGGAATCAAACAGCTAGGGATTTCTTTTGGTTCTATTTTCTTTCTATCTTTAAAAAGTAGCCTGGGATCATACTCCGCCACTCATCAAGTAGCAGAGGGAAATCTCCGCCCTTCCCCTTGGGCCTTGACAGCCCTGAGTCATGACTAGTCCCTCTTCACGCAGTGTCTACTTCATGTTCCTGGCTTCACCAGTGGCGGATCCAGGAGAAGGGCCCGAGGGGCCCAGCCCACCCTTATTTTTAGATCAAACTGGGGCATGAAGGGCTGAAAAAATTTTGTTTGACACCAGTTCCCCCCCTCTTATCACAGGGTCTGAATGACTGTGCCCCTCCCCCTTTATCTGAAGGTCTGGATCTGCCACTGCATTAGTTTCCAGGGCTATAGTCTACATACTGTTGCTGTATTGTCTTTTGTATCAATAAAATATGTGGCAGGTGTTTTTAATTCAAGATACCTTGGAAAGATCTGACTCTGCAGACTTCATTTCTAGGTGAACTGCATTTTAAAAGGGTTTGTATTTAACTGATTGGTGAACTTTTGGATTTTAGGAAGAACTGTCTTCTTTGAAGCAAAAGACAGACCATGTTGTGCAAGAAAACACAAGGTAAAGTTGTCTACTTTCTGTGGCTTCAAATGACAGCGAGAGGAAGAGGGGGAGGGGAGGGAGGCTGATAGCATTCTACAAAGCCTGCACTTGTCCGGAAATTCCCTCTAAAGAAAAAGAGAAGAGGAGAAACTTCCAGACCCCTGCCCCCAAGATTAATTTGAAATCACAGTAAAAGTCACATGGAAAGTTGCCTTAGTCTAGAAATAATCATTGCCGTCTCATATCACTTGCTACAGTGTACATTTAAGTATAAACCCCGGAGCCTTTTTTAAGGAAAGGATTTTCACATAAAGTTGGTGTAAAACTGTCTTAAAAGTGACACCAGTCCAATATTGATTTGTTGTGTCAGGAGGCCTGCTTTTTTGGGAGCCGTCAGCCCCTATCCTATACACTGCCTATCATCCTTAGTTAATTTCTATTCCCCTTATTGTAGGCTTCATGAGGAACTTAGAAGAAGCATAGAAGCACAAATGGACATAGTTAGGCAAGGAGAAGGCAGTGGCGTAGAAAAGGAAGTAGTGGAAAACATGCGTCACCAGCTTCATCTGCTGTCACAGGTACATGTAGTATCATTGAAGCTAGTCATGATTACAAAAAGGTAGTCTTGAAAGAGAAAGAAGTTTGAAAATGATTCTAAAACCTGTGCTGTGGACTACACTACTCAGAGATTGCAATGTACTTTTGGTGACAACATGAAAGTGCACATACATGTATAGGGTATGTGTTATCATAAATTTGAGATTGCTTGCAATGAATTAAGATGGAATCCACCAGGAAATTGAGTAATTTTGATTTTCAGTGGACAAAAATCTTGTACCAGAATAATTTAAAGCAATTTGCATTCTTTCTTACATTTTTTAAGGACTAAAGATGTAATAAATCATCTGTAGTAACACCTAAAGGATATTACTTACATGTATGGGAGCCCATGGCTAGAAAATGAATGTCAAATTTCACAAAATTACATTACACATGAAATTTTTAGATTTTTACTTGTATAATCACAATTCTTGTGAAACTGGACATTTATTTTCTCAGACTTCCATGAGAAATTTTCTTTGGTGTTACTACAGATGATTTATTACATCTTTAGCCCTTGAATAATGAAAAAAAGAATGCAATATTCTTTAAATTATTCTGGTACAAGGTTTTTGTCCACTGAAAATTGAAATTACTCACTTTCCTGGTGGATTCCGTCTTAATTCTCTCCCAATTGTAAATGCATGTATTCGAACCACTTCTACATGTAGAAAGAGATCTGTGGCTCAATTCTAGTAAGCGACCACCTCCCATAAGCAACTTTCACTAAATATTTACATTTGGGGTGGTCGCTTACGGGAGGTTGGACTGCAAGGGGTGGCGTAAAGTACTGTGCATGTATGACTGACAGTAAACCAAGTTTCTGTCTTGAGGACCCCCAAGGAACAAGATTTGCCCGTTTCATCAATAATGAATGATTATTACTATTAATGTACTCTGTTCTGTTTTTAGGAAAGAGACAGTTATGTGGAACTATGGCAAAATGCCTGCAGTGAACTTGAAAAGCTTCAAGAAAGTGAACGGGTATGAGATACTGCAGCTTCCCTTGGAGCCATGAAGAACAATGATCACCTCCTTATGTCTCCTCAGGATATAAGTTCTTTTAAGATGCATAGATCTCTTGGGAAAAAAGGAAATGATCTCCACTTTTAATAATGGTGTATAATACATGTGCATGCAATATTTACACAATCATGTAAGATTTGTTAACAAAATTTTCAAACTTTTTTTTTTAACTGCTTAAAAACGAACCTATGGGTCAAGGGCATGGAGAGTTTGCTTAAACCCAACACCCCTGTGGAATAACTATCCTTATACCCCTTGTGACGTAATCTCTTTACGTGGAAAATAAATTTATTGCACCCCTGTGCAGGACGAAGAAATCATCTGAAGCGGCGTAACAAGCGAGAGTGAACCCTTTTAATGGCTTGGGCCATTAAATTCTAGGGAAAGTCTTTTCTGCCCATTGCCACTTTCCAAGTATAGTCACTTTTCTCTAGCTATAAACTTCATCAAGGTATGTATATGTAGGTGCAATAAAAAGAATCTATCCGGTGGCATTCAGATTGACGCTAAGGGTGGATTTGCACTGTCGTGTAATTTTTACGTGTGTGCGCACATGAATGTATGGAAGGTCGAGCGTAAACGTTAAAGTTGAGTGAGCACAAGTCACAAGTCACGCAACAGTGGAAATCTGTGTTAAGGAAATCACAATAGTATAAGATCTTTCTCTACGCAGTAACTGTAACTGTTTATATGCCTGGCTGTGGGATTGTGCACAAAACAAGATTTCTTAATATGAATTCTATTTTTTTTCGTTTGTAGGAGAAAGATGCAGAACTTAGGACCAGATCAAGGACCATGACAGGCCTACAGGTATCTCGCAGTTGATCTACATTCATTGTTAACATGCCACCTTGTGGGGTATTTTTCCTCAATAAATCGATGACAAGTTTCAAAGTTAATATTCATATTGAAAGACTAAAAAGATGAATAAACTAATTAGCACAATGTGAGAGTTGTTGGGGAGGCAGCGGGGCCGAGTGGTCAGCGCGTCGGACTCGCAGTCCTTCAGTCTCAGGTGCGAGTCCTGCTCTGGCGACTTGCTGGATTTGTTCTCGGTCATCCCAAGTTCAAATCCTCCGCCATGCTTGTAAACTGCCAACTGGTTGCCTTCTGCCAGTTGCCTCATGTTATGCTGCATTCGAGTTATTTGTAAGAATTTGAGTGGGGTGCCTGTAAACTAGTTAGATAAGCTAAGTGCACTCTTCACTATAAACAAGCCTTTGTGTTTCATTTAGTACTGGGGAACTGACAAAACAACAGGTCCCACGGGGAAGCTTTTCCTTTAACGGACACACTGTGTTAAGGAATGTGAGCGTGTTTACGATTAATGTAGTACATTACTTAGTAGTACAGTGCTGCGAAGTAGCTTTTCAGTGAATCCCTTGTAAGGATTTCATCCACAGACACCCAGCAACGGTCAGAACTTTGTAGAAACAAGAGAGAACCTGGGACGAGTAAACTTTCGCAAAGATTTTTGGGACTGTTACTAGGGACAGGGAAAAAAATGTCCAATAGCTGATCGCCGCCTCCCCAGTGCTGATCCCAGAAACAATTGTGGGTCTGCGCCAGTTCCCTTCTCGTTTCTGAAGTGGAGCTGTCACAGTGATATGGGCATCCCCATTCCCAAAACACCCAAAACGCAGGGATGACCATATCACTGTAACAGTGCCTGAATTCATACCAAGGATTTAGTACTCGGGCTCCAAAGTTATAACCACTTTCAGTGGACAGCATCAACAGTGACAGAGAAAAGAAGCCCTCAGTAACTGCCTTCTGAATGCTCACAATACTTTCAGGAAAGTTAAAACCACCTAGTACCGCATAATAAACAGTGCGATGGGAGAAAACTCGAATGGTCATACTGAAACGTTAGAGCTATAGATGTGGTTCGTGCAGCATATGCAACAACAAAGAAAAATGTATCTTTTTTATTCAGATGTGATCCCATAATTTAGGGCAATTCAGCTAGTCTATTCTATTCTGTGTGTGTGTTCATATGGATGTTTTTTTTTTTGCAGTTAGAAAACCCTAGCCCTGATATAGAACTTGTTTCGTTAACGACTTTGCTTTCTTTTGACAGAATGATCTTCAAAAAGCGAGGCAATTTGCTGGAGAACTGCAAACAGTCAATAGGAAGTTGCGAATGGTAAGAAGAGGCGTAGCCCTAATATCGTGAAATAGATAAATCAACTCCTAATTGCATTGTCTCCCTCCCTCTGGCTCATAGGTGAAGTCTTCGTTAAAAAAAATTCCTTCTGAAGAGGCTGCTGCGTTATCTTCTCCGAAATCTTAGTCGTGTGTTGAGTTGTGCTGTAGTACACAACAACTTCGGGATCAGTTTAGGTTTCTCGGAAACTGCCCACCTACCCGTCCCCTAAGCCATCGTTTTGCCCCAAGTGAGAAGTAAGTGTTAATGTTGGCTTTGGGGATGGGTAGGTGGGTAGTTTCCTAGAAACCTCGTTTCACTCTTCGTTTACGTTTTCATCCAAAAAGATGGAACTTATCGACTTTTTTGTTAAAACACACCATTTTTAGTGGGTCAAAAAGACTTGGTTTTATCAGATGTGTTGCGAGAGGGAAATGGCCCTGATGTTAAAGAGATCTTTCTGAAGGTCGAGTTTCGAGTCTTAGCCATACCCTTCGTGGAAGGATTAGCTCTACGGCTTTTAAATCCCTCTACGGTTGCTAATTTGCCATACGACTGATTAAACCAATTATCGGTTTTCTCTTTTCAGCCTAAGGAGCCCCAAACTTTTTTCAAAATAGCCTCTTTGTTAGGGCAATTATTCGCAAAATTTCTTCTTAACTGAGTTGTGCTCTTAGTGCTACATAAGTTTGTATAACGAAATATCTTGTTGATAAATTTATTATAACTTTATCGTTCATGGTTTAGTGGCGTTGATTATTACATTTTCAACGTATAGTATTTTCTCCTTGTGAAATCTTAGATTGGGGGATATATATTTTCTGTTTCCCCCCATATTTAAGAAAACACCAACCTCGATCATATTTTTAAATTGAAACTTTAATATTAATGAATGCGTGCAGACATAACAGTTTCACAACAATGAAGTATTTTATTCGTATTGAATAGAATGTAGCGCCACAAACTAAGATTATCTTCTGTTTTAAAGGAGCACGAAAAATTTCTCACAACCGCTCATACACAAGATCAAGAAATTGATGATGTACGTAATGATTTAAGGTGCGTAAAGTTTAGTTATAATTTCCTGTCGTTGTAAACTAATAATACATGTATCTACGTAGTTCTAAACTGGCTGTAGTAAGTGAGTAGTGTGAGACTTGATAAAGCAGGAACTGCGAGTTCATTCAAAATTTTCAAATCCTGGTAAAGCGTAATGTGGATAAATGAAGAACTGATCTGATTTTTTTAAATTCGATTTTGAAAGCTACAATTTGTTCTGATAACTGATGTCCTTGACGGGGTAAGACATCGATATTTGCGTTAAAAAAGCGAAATTTTACTTCTGTTAGGAAATGCAAGACAGAGTTGAAAAGCACCAAAGCTCAGAACGAAGAACTTCGTAGAACGTTGGAGTTAATGGAAGGAAGAATTAGAGCAAGGGTGAGTGATCTTTCTTTGTCCTTCTCGATCTTGTAAATTGTTTGCCATATATTTGTTATGTAGAATGTTGAATAACTACAAGAATTTTGGTCTACTTTAGATTCTCCTTCTCAAGCCGCAGTCACGTTAACCGTATTGACTGTACTCTTTCACAATCGACCCGATTCTGTCCTTCGCCAGAACACGGCACGAATCAGAGGAGCGACATGACTTGTTGTCAAAAACCACGTGACGTTAGGCCATACGACATTCAGGGACTTGGTCCAAGGTGAACAAACCTGGCGGACCACAATTTCGCTAGAGATGGGACAAAATCACATCACCCTTGAAGACCCCCTTCCCCAACCAAAGCAAAGAAAGAAGAGAAAAATAGAGATATAAGGCACAAATAGGCGCAACATTTCTTTATCACGCTTACTATAACTCTTAAAGTAAGACCAGCGATCTAAGCGGTTTTTCAAATAGACAGTTTAAGCATTACGTATACGGCAAACGGCAAACTTCAGATTCAAGTTGGGAATTTCTCAAAATAGAAAATGAGCAGATAAAAACAGCTCAAAACAATTCTATGGATGAAAAATTGCGTGAAACTACCAATCTATGTGTTGAAATAATGAACATTAAACGTCAAGTAAAGAGGAAACTTGGTCACGTGGTACAAATTCGCATTGTGCCGTTTGACGTAAACGTGTTGCTTAACCTCTCTAATGCCGATGTGAAAACGGTTAGGTCGCAAAAAATGTACGGGGCAAGGCTGTAATACTACATTAACAGTTATTGGTTACTTCAGTCATCCTCGGTCCGGTAGACGTGCCAATGGTATTCTGTTCTGTTTCATTGTTAATTTTACCACTTACGTTGAAAGCTTGATACATGAGTGTTTTGTTTGTAATTCTACATTAAACAGACAACTCAGCATCGACCTTTTGTGAGATAGAAATACCAAGTCCAGGGTTAGGCAGATTGTTTTAACAAAGATCTTCGTCTTTTCACACAGGACAGAGAAAGAGGAGAGGAAGCAAACAGAGAGCAACCAGTTGACACTCGCCTGGAGGAGTTACAAACAGCTATAATTGAAATGGAGTCCAGGTTCGTACACTCTTGATGTTACGGTTTATTGTTAAGTTTTTCTCGAATAATTACGACAAAAGAGATTCAACAGAGATATTTCAACGTTATTAGCGGAGCTCTGTCGCGCAGCCGAGTACTATGGGTAAGAAAATTTGGTTGTCTATTCATTCAAGAAATTTGGGTTCTGACAAAATCGTTCGTACGTACGTACGTCCACCTTTTCACGTTAACGGATGTGAAATGGCACACTCGCTAGCTAGGAATCCAAGGCATATACCATCTGTGTTTAACTTGGTGTTGGACATCCATGTTATGATCAATTGACAGCTCTAAAAAAAAAAATACAAGTATCCGCTGACCGGTATCACATGACTGTATCGCTGACCCAGGTAGACAACTCATTGAGGTGACTTATTTTTTAAAGTTATGCACTGACCAGTTCCTAGTTTCAAGTCCATTTTTAAAAGTTGGAATTCAGTTTGCTTCCTGCTTATGGCAAAACTTAGATAATTAATTGAGAAAGAAATTGCATAAAAGGTCCCCTCGAGAGCTTCGCTTTTGACCTTGGCTAAATCTATTTACTATGTGAGGAATTTTTTTTTTAAAACTGAGTAAGGGTGGATTTCCAATGTCGTAATGTTTACGTGCGAACGTAAGTAAAATTTACGGGCGTAAATAGCACAGAGGCAATAGAGAGCTTTAGATTTTAGGACGAGGACGACTACGAGTACGAGATTTAACTTACGTTTTTTCGCGTATTCTCGAAAAATATTCAACCCAGAAAGCTTCATCCCACTGTTTTTCACCTGAAAAATTAGGGCGGTTACATTTTTTTTGAAGAAGGTTTAGCCCTTTCCCGGTCGCAAAATGATAAATTTCTAAAATTTGATAACTTGTTTCCGCCACTACGACATTCTCGCTAAAACTTGTATTAGAATGACGGCGGCAATGAGAACGGCAAAAACAGCAATAGGATTAGACAAGCAAAACAACAACTTTGCACGTACATCACGCTTTCTTGTACATTTATCTGCCGTCGTTGCACGACTACAACGTGAAACTGCCTAATTTCGCGTTTTGTCAAGGACGGTAACAAAAGACAACAACTTTCTTTTTCTTTTCCTGAACTTTGATGCAGTCCTTTAGAATTCAACTCCGAAAAAATTTGCCAACATTTGACGAATTAAAGGAGATGGAATAAGCGCGATAAAGTCTGAGGCAGCGCAAATTTACTTTTTAAGTGACGTTTTCGTAGCTGTCGCCGTCGTTATTGCGTATACTCCCTTGACGTTGGGTCACGCCTGAGCACTACTCAAGGTATTGGGAAAGTCTCGTACTCGTAGTCGTCCTCTTCTTAGAATCTAAAGCTCTCTAATGTTTGAAGGGCCGCGCGTAAACGTAAAAGTTGAGCGAGGTTCAACTTTTACTTTTAATACGCGTGACCTACGCGTGAAAATTACCTGACGGTGGAAATCTATCTTATAGAGGATTTCAAATTTTTACCAAACGTGCGCGTGCAATAAAAATTACTTTTCTTTTACGTGTTCTATACGTCATAATGACCAACTCATTGATAACAGTACAAGAATAAAATTCAGTTGGTTACCAAAAAGGCTAAAAGTTTCCAACGAAAGCTGTTTTATTCTGGATGGCAATTGCCGCGAACACGTAAGCATGTTGAACTCTGAAAACCAACAGGAAAAATTTTTTAAGCACTAGTTTTCGTCGTCACTGTGTTGTAGCCTGTGCCACAGACGAAACTAAGCTTTGCGAAACAGCGCCGATTAATCCTTGTTCTGGTCCCCACCTGTGTACCAAGATTTGAGTACTCGCCATGATTGGCCTGTTAAAAAAGCCACTGTCAAATTGCCAGTTGACGACGGGAAAGCGCGCGGAAAGGACTAAACGTTCCCGTCGTGGCTAAATCAGCCTAATAGTGAACAGGACGGGAGAGCAAAGAAGACGGCAAACCTTGTGTGACAAGCGTGACAAAAATTTTGTTTAAAAAAATTTTTCTTTAAACTTCATCTTCCTTTAAACAGATATTTTTGTGAAAGACCAAAAATCATTAATATTTAGTGAAGATTGCGACAAAACATGCAAGTAATAGCCCTGTCACGTTTGTCACACACAAGCGTTTTCCCCTCCCCGACTTTCTGCCGTCCTGTTGCGTACATGTAAACTCACTAATAATGTACTTGTCGAGTTTTTGGTTGTTCGCTCATCTGTATAAATGGATGAATGTCTCGTTATGTAGTAATTGTTTTTTGTAGTTCAGTGGCTAACATGATAAATCGCTCAGTACGGGAAAAAAAAACAAAGAAAGTGACTAGCTTTATAGGTTGAGTTTGACAGTATGACAGATATAAAATTCATATTAAATTCGTTTTCGTATTAACTTCCTTGAGTGGTTTAAATGGAGCGAGGGTTCGCTAAAAATAACTAAAGCCTATATGGATATTTTTAGTAGCCTGTTCCTCTGTTGACTGTTAGTCTTTAATAACTTCATGCTCTTGTTTGCAGACTTTCCGCGACGCTGAAAGAGGTCTCTAGGTTACGCTCTGAAAGAACAGAGCTGGAGGACCAAGTGGAGGTTTTGCAAAAGAAAAGGTAAAAATCCGATTATTGTTGTTGTTGTTGTTGTTGTTTTGAAAGGTCTTACTTAGACCATGGTTCAAGGTAACCAGTAGGCTAGTCGATCTCTTCGTGCAGATACAGCAATTGTTCACTTATTTCGTTCGAGAAAAGTTTTATTCCATAAGAATTCTCGCCGAATCGACCGTAACTCGTGTTATGCATTTCGCCTCTCGATTGGCGTAATATTAATGTTCGTTCATGACCAAAACATAAATTTAAGACGGCAATTCATCGACTACTTTTTGATATTCTATTGTCTGAGGATGATTATTGGCCTACTTATTTCAAACAGCTTTGAGGTGCCTGCGTCATCTCATTTCGTTTAATATAAAATTATAAATTTTTTTCTTACTTTTTTTTCCTTCCAGCCATCTGTTAACTAAAATGTATATGAGTAAATATAAATAATTGCTGCGAGAGTTAGCGAGCAGCAGACCTATTTGACTCAGGTAGGTTTTGAAATCTCGCCAGATGTTAGTAGGACATTTTGCCTCGCTTTCGTGTGGTTCAAAAGCACTGCTGATCATTACAACGGTGTCTCCAACACATTCTTTCTGTTCACGAGCCTTGGCAACCTTTGCGAGTTCTTTGGCCTGCTTTCTCCCTTCTGGTCTTTGATTTTGTGGCCAGCCTGTGCATGTTCCCAAGCGCGAGAAATAGAAACAAAAGGTTGTCGGCGCAAAATGTTGACGTCACAATAGCACCTTGACGCCTCAATGCCATCACCCTTCGCGTTTTTTGTATCGTTCCTTGTGTCAGTGAAAACGTTGTTTATGCCATCAAATGCCGATTGATATTCAAGTGCAGAAGGATATTTAGACACCGGTCACTAGACCCAGGTGGACTGAATGAGAACTTTTAGTTTATTTGAACCTCTCTAAGTCAGCGCGCGCACGTAACATTAGGTTAGTTTCTAATTTTATCTGAACGTTACATTTCATCCTATTGACTACTTCAGTTCGACACGAGCACAAACCCAATATTTTTGATAGAGAAAAGAGACACACTATCACTACACCATCTGCTCGGAACTCCTCACCTTCCATTTGGAAGCGCTATTATAATTTTTATTGACATTTTATCTTTCCCTGACCTGCCTCGACTAGTGTTCCTGCTTCTTTGCGGGTCAGCACCATCTTATGTATTTCTGTGAAGTAAATAAAGGTTGTTGTTTTTAGCCTAGGTCCGTAACTGTAACCTAGCAACATGCAGTTCATCCCCAGCAAGAAACCGGCGCCGAANTCTTTGATTTTGTGGCCAGCCTGTGCATGTTCCCAAGCGCGAGAAATAGAAACAAAAGGTTGTCGGCGCAAAATGTTGACGTCACAATAGCACCTTGACGCCTCAATGCCATCACCCTTCGCGTTTTTTGTATCGTTCCTTGTGTCAGTGAAAACGTTGTTTATGCCATCAAATGCCGATTGATATTCAAGTGCAGAAGGATATTTAGACACCGGTCACTAGACCCAGGTGGACTGAATGAGAACTTTTAGTTTATTTGAACCTCTCTAAGTCAGCGCGCGCACGTAACATTAGGTTAGTTTCTAATTTTATCTGAACGTTACATTTCATCCTATTGACTACTTCAGTTCGACACGAGCACAAACCCAATATTTTTGATAGAGAAAAGAGACACACTATCACTACACCATCTGCTCGGAACTCCTCACCTTCCATTTGGAAGCGCTATTATAATTTTTATTGACATTTTATCTTTCCCTGACCTGCCTCGACTAGTGTTCCTGCTTCTTTGCGGGTCAGCACCATCTTATGTATTTCTGTGAAGTAAATAAAGGTTGTTGTTTTTAGCCTAGGTCCGTAACTGTAACCTAGCAACATGCAGTTCATCCCCAGCAAGAAACCGGCGCCGAACGGTTTCCGTAATCATTGACTAGTACCAATATACATTTATATATATCTCGTAAATTTTCTTTTAACTGCAGAAAGTACTAACTGATACCATGTTTTATCTTGAATATTATGCACCATGGAAAAAGCTTTACTCAATTACTGCATTGTGTGGGCTTCCAGATAATAAGTCCAACGTTATAACCGCTCAGCCACTCTGCCTTCTCTTAATTATTATGCAGTATAAATAAAGCTTTAGGACCCGTTTATATAGAGAAAAGTTATGCTGGGGAAGAGGGACATTCTCCCAGCCGAGTCAACTTTAGTGAATGTTTATATGACAAAAAAAATGACCCCTTTGCTCGAGCCAACAGCTGACAGCAGTGCTCGCGCATGCTCTGATTGTCTTGCCTTGACCAAGTTGACCCGGCTGGGTGAATCAAAGTGTTTATATGGAGAAAAGTTGGCCCTGCAAGGAGGGTGACCCTACCACCGAAAAAGGGTGAATGAAGATTTTTGTTTCTCATGTAAACAGGTTGCTAAGTTTTGTAGGAAACGTAGGAAGAGTTGGCTCGCCCAGGGTAGTGACCTTTCTTCTCTAAACAAGTTTTCTCCATATAAACGAGGCCTTACCGTACTATAACCAGTGGTCCCAAAAGCAGTTTTTCCTGTTGTTTGAAAAGACATTGAATGTGTTTTGTGAGTCGCACGTAGACGAGTTTTTAACTTTTGATGGTTAGAAAACTCGTGTACGTGACCCTCACATACGCAATATGACCTGCGGAAAAATATTCACTAGAGGAGCAGTATTGTTTCAACGCATTTTATTACAGTAGAGATCACCACTGTGTTATTACATGGAATGTCATTTCAAGGCAATTATTACGCTTTAATTTACTCCTTGGTTAAAATCATCGTTGCTGGCGAGCAGTAGCGAGCAGGGTACTATTCACTTTTACGCCTGTGAAGTTCAGAAAGTTTGTCGGACGTAAGATTGTAGGCATGCGATGTTGGACGGTTTATGATTATCCGGGACATTCTCCTGCTATGTTTGATACCACCTAAATTTGCAAATGGAAGTCCTTTGGCGTCGTTCGGGCTTAGTTGAATTGCTCGCGTAGGCAGCAGCGATCAATTGTGCAGGTTCCTTTTCGGCGAAATTTCCAGGTCCACATTTTACTATGGTGTGCAATACATTATCATGTATTCCTAAGTTCCTTTATAACTGTACATAGTTGAAATTCGCCACTATAGAAACTAGAAGGGAACTGGAGCCGAAATGTGTCTCGCCGTGTCTTGCAATTGTATCTGGGATCTTTACTGGGGACGTGTCGGTCAGCTATTGGCCAGTTTTTCCCCTGTCCCTTGTTACAGTCCAAAAGTCTTTGAAAAAGTTAACTAAGTCCGTTTTTCTTCTTGTTTCTAAAGTAGCGAATTATTATGCACTTAAATAAAAGCTTTTCTTCTGTGTAATCGGTGGACATGAAAATTTTAAGCAATATTTTATGCTATCTGACAACGGAGTACATGTGCCTTGTGAGTGGCACCTAGATTAATTGAATCTTTAAATTTTAGTGGTTAAAAAATTCATCTATGTTGCGCTCACATGCACATAGCCCGGAAAAAAATATTCAGAAAATAAAGCTTTTCCGTGCATTTTAGTGTAGGAGGGACCTCCACTGCATTGTTACGTTGCAAAAGTTATATTATGCTATCGTCTTCTTATTATCTTTTCTTTTTTTCTGTGTTATATATCCACCCTACAATCGCAAAAGAGTGAACCAAACTTATTGTTTCTCAAGTAAACGGGTCGCCAAGTTTGGCGAGGAAACGGAGGAAAAGTTCATTCACCCAGGGTAGCTCGGCTAGTCCAGTGACCCTTCTATTCGGGACAAGTTTTCTCCATATAAACGAGACCTTACCGTACTACAACCAGCTGTCCTAAAGGCAATTTTTCTTGTTGTTTGACAAGACATTGAATGTGTTTTGTGAGTCGCACGTGGACGAGTTTTTAACTTTTGATGGTTAAAAAACTCGTCGACGTGACGCTCACATTACGCAATATGACCGCGGGAAAATATTGACAAGTGGAGCAGTATTATTTCAGCGCATTTTATTGAAGCAGAGACCACCACTGCATTATTACATTGAATGTCATTTCAAGACAGTTATTACGCTTTGGCATTCTTATTATTTACTCCTCGGTTAAAATCATCGTTATTATTGCTGGCGAGCAGTAGCGAAGCAGGTTACTATTCACTCCTGTACCTGTGAAATTCAAAACGTTTGTCGGACGTAAGATTATAGGCATGCGTCGTTGGACGATTTACTATTATCCGGGACATTCTCCTGCTGTGTTTGATACCATCTAAATTTGCAAATGGAAGTCTTTTGGCGTCGTTCAGACTTAGCTGAATTGTTCCCGTGGGCAGCAGCGATCAATTGTGCAGGTTGCTTTTCAGCGAAACTTCCAGGTTTATATTTTACCACGGCGGGCAATGCATTATCATGTAGTTGTAAATTCCTTTGTAGCTGTACATAGTTAAATATTGTGTCCTTGTTTCAGTCGAATTCGCCACTTTAGAAACGAGAAGGCAACTGGAGCCGAAATGTGTCTCGCAATTGTTTGTTGGATCGTTGCTGGGCACGCACCGGTCAGCTTTTGGCCAGTTTTTCCCTTGTCCCGTGTCATTGTCCCGGAAGTCTTTGCGAAAGTTTAACCCGGACTGAGTTAAACCCCCAGTTAAACCTCATTCCGGGTTGCCTCTTGTTTTTCAAGTGGCGAATTATTATGCACTTTAAATTATTAAAGCTTTTCTTAACTATGGGACATAGGTGGACATGAAAATTGTAAGCGATATTTTGTGCTATCTGACAATGAAGTACATGTGCTCTGTGAGTCGCACCTAGATGAATTTTTAACTTTTAATAGTTAAAAAATTCATCTATGTGACGCTCACATGCACATAACTTGGAAGAAATTATTCAGAAATTCAAGCTTTATTAATTCAGCGCAGTTTAGTATAGGAGACACCTCCACCGTACTGTTACGTTTCAAAACTTATGCTATCGTTTTCTTATCTTTTCTTTCTTTTATGTTACATAATTATTTATCGATGCTGGTCGTACGTCAACCTCGTATGTTAGATCGTAAGCATGCGCAGTTGGTTGGTTCATGATAATCCGGGACACTTTCTTGCGATATTAAGCCCTTTCGCGTCGTCCACAGTTTGTTCGATTTTTCATGTTCCTTGCCAGCGAACAGCTTTGCATGATGCATGATTCTGTTGTGGAGCAACTTTCGCTTTTTCCTGGGCAGACGAAGAATATTTTAACTCCATGGCCCACATTTTACCACACACGCGCAAAGAATGCATTACAACGGTCAAACGTTTTGCCTCTTTGGTCGAAAAACTTATTTTGTGATGAATGATTTTAATTAGCGGGTATAATTTTTTAGGTTTAACTTAAGTGCGTCTTCACACAGGACCGTTCGATAGAGCGATTTTCGTATGACCTTGAAAAATGGTTTCGGTAAGTGTTAGTGATTTTTTTTATCAGCCGATGGATGAAAAGATCAAAACATGGACTCTTCGTTTCCTCGCTAAAAAAAATCCTAATGTAGAGAAGTTATTGTTCGATTGGCCAATCGTGTTGAAGTATGTCGTCAAAGCAAAGTATCGATTGATTTCTAGAAAGTTCTCGGGCGTGAAGTTTTTTCAGCCGAGCGTTCGCTTAACCAACCAAAAGCCACGCGCGTTTGTATCCGTTCGATAAACCAATCAAATCGTTCTATGGAGCGTTTTCACATGACGTCACGGCGGCCATATTGGTGTTCCAAAACAATGAAACGAAGGCCGTACTGGTGTTCCAAACCAATCCTGTGGGAGTTAAACTCTTTTCTTATGTAAACGCTTTCTTTTGTTCCAATAAATTTGCATAGATGCTGGCCACGTGAGTGAAAACGATCTATTTCCGTTCGTTTCTTGTTTCTGTTTTTTTTTCGCCCGTTTTCATTTCAAGGTCAAACGAAAATCGCTCTGTTTTCGCTCCAGGCGTCCACATTTTCGCACGATTAACACTTTAATGCACGAATTTTCAAGTGGTCGAAATTTCATCTGCTGCCGTGTGAACGAAGCATCCTAGCATACATACCGTAAAATTCCGAAAATAAGCCCCTCCAAATATAAGCTCCCCAAACCGGTAACGCAAAAAACCCTCCGTTAAATCGCCCCTCCAAATATAACCCCCCCCCCCCCCCCCAACCCCCCCCCCCCCCCCGGTTGTTGTACTTGGAAAATTGCCCTCAAATACAAAGTAAAACGGTAAATTTACTTCCAACTATAAGGCTAGCCCAATCGATTTTGAAACGCAGTTTTCTCTCCGTAGATAAGCCCCTCCGAATATAAGCCCCTCCAAAAATAACTCCCTCAAAAAGGGCCTTTGAAAAATATAAGCCCCGGGGCTTATTTTCGGAATTTTACGGTACATTTTTATTTTTATATTTTTTACTTTGCTTAGTTCAGTATTCCAGCTGAATTCTTATGCAGTATAAGTAAAGCTATAGAATTTCATCTCATCCACAGACTCAAAAGTTATAACCGCATTACAAAACTCAGTTCATCACTCTTGGAGTCAGAGGATTAAACTTCTTAAGCCGTTTTATTCTCATTATTAAAATTCTTCTTATTATTCTTTTTATTATTTATTATTTTTTCTTGTATTTAGTTCTGAGCTGCAGCAACGTGAATTGGAGGCCATTTCCCACGTGAGAGACAGTGTTCAGATGGTTGAAAATGCGATACTGGAAAGAGATCAGGTAATGGAACGGAGACTTGCTCTTTCAACGTAAATTGTTCACCAAGTACTATGTGGAGATACTGCTCAACAGGTTCATCACATCAGCGCGTCTGTAAAGCGGATTCCAAGGAATTCGCGTCGCTTTTTAATTTTTTCTTTTCAGTTTTTTTTCGAAGAAATTTACTCATTTTCTGTCGTTTACGGCGCGCAGTTTGCCATTTATAAGTTCTATAAATAGAGTATAATGGGACAGAGAAGGAATTTTAGGGCGTTGGCCGGGATATGTGAATTTCACTTGAGTTATTTTTAGAGACTCTAAGTAAACGGAAGCCTAATTCCTGAGAAGTCCGCATATTTTGATCAAGGTGTGGTTCCAGGTTGAGTGAAGCGGGCTGGGCGAGCTATTACCAACTTGTCTTGGACTACCGAGTACTACATTTTCCTCCCTTATACACTAGATTAGGAATTTTTAGTCGTGTTATATACTTCATTTAGCTTAAGTTATGTTTTATTTTTATAATAGCTCACTTCGGAAAAAGTGATAGCCTGGGACCCAAACTAGGCGCGCGCGCACTTATTTAGGGGGACACAAATGTAAACAAACATGGCGGAAAGCGAAGTGGAATGTTTCAGCGGGGTTAAAACAGCTCGAAATAGCAAAACGTAAGGTGAAAGTGAAAGAAAAAAAACATGAAAATGTGAAGCTGAAGGAAGAAGATGTGCCTGGAGCAATTTTACGTCGAGAAAAACCAATAAAATGCACCGTGAAACAACTTCAGAGATGGCCTCTTAGCCGTGGTGCCAAAACAACCGGAAAGAAAACGCAGCTCGTACAAAGGTAAGGACGCGCGGACCGGGAAGTTCCTGAAATTATTTGTGCTTAAACAGCACAACAACTTGCACATCTCGTCATAATTCAAGGTGGCTGCTCGACTTGTGTCCCCAAAAAATCCCATAAATGAGCGCGCGCTTAGTTTGGGTCCCAGTTTATCATTCTTTTCCGAAGTGAGCTATTAATTGTTGTTCTGTACCAAGGTCCGAAAAATTGGAATTCCCTCCCCGCACCAATTACGTGTTCATCTCGCATTCCTTCCTTTAAGAAAAAGATGTTAGATTTTAAGAATTGGCCAAGCCGCACACGCCCAGCACTTATGTTATTTGTAAATATATTTGCATTTGAGTTGGCCTCTCTAATAATCCTGGTGTGGTTTCTTGAGATCTCCTAGCCAAAGAAAATGTAGCTTTAAACCTGGTTCACGGTATCGAAACATGGCAAAGTAATGAGGCGGTGGGTTTTTGTTTTCTCATAGGCTCTTGTTCGCGAGCAGCAGAAAGTTCAGGAAGTCAACAGATTACAAGAGGCTATCAATAAAATCTTGAAAGAGGCTGGCAAAAGAACAAGAGAAGAGGTACGAGGAATGTGCTATAAAATGTTCGTGCTTATTTGCTTAGTTTTTTGGGGGTGTGGACGGTTAAGGCCACAGTTTAAAAGTTCTTAGCCAAAGAAAGCTGAAGTTGAATTTCTGATAAACTGCAAAACAGTCCATGTTTTTGGGTATTCAAGTACGCGCGAATAGTCAGAAGGTCTGGAGCGAGGCTAAAAACGGAGAGCGAGACTGGGGAGAGACGCCAATTTTTTTCTCTCGCCTCACACGCCTGTTCGCGCGCACAAGACTCTTACGCTACGCTAAACCGATTTTTAGGAAAAAACCGGCTGTTTTGCAGGGTACAGTTTAAACGTTCTTTACCAAAGATGGCTAAAGATTAATTTCAGATAGCTTTCTAGACCGTGGCCGCTTGTCCCTAAGATGGGCCTATATTCTTCTCACATTAATGGAAAAAATATATATATACAAAATAAAAGTGGACATAGACTAGGAAATAAGTTTTCAAGTAGTTTGGAGGGAACGAAAAGAAAGATAGAATCCCAAAATCAGAATTCTGTTGCCAAAGCGCTCAACTTTGTGATCTGTTTAGTTTTAGCCTTGTTTTAGAGGTCTTATTTTTCGCTAGATTTGACTTTTTCGCGTTTGGAATCCTTGTTAGGTGGACGCGGTTCGTAATCAGTGCAATAAAAATATCCAGAAACTCATGGAAGAGATGCATTTCCTGGAAATGGTAAGGCATTTATGCGATACATAATTTCTGCGATATCTCGATAAACAAGGAGCGATACGATACATATCTCGATACAGATGCAGCGATGCGATAAATATATCGATTTATTGTTTATATAAAATATTTCCCCCTTTCCGATTGGCTTAAATCTCACGGCTAATTCTTCATAACCAGCTAGGGTTGACTGAATTTGGAAGTAGCTTGCGATATCCGGAAAATGACGTCGATAGCATAGGGCAATTGCCACAAAAAGGGACGGTAACTGAGAGGACTTGGGGACGAGGCTGCGCTGTTTTGGTAGAAAAGTCCATTTCACTCGTTTTACTGCCTAGAATAGGGAGCTTAAGCAACCACGACGACAACGCTACATGTAGTCTCAAGTTAACTCAATTCAGAAGTTCAGGGGCACCCAACGACTTTTTCTTTAAAAAAATAATAACTTTTTGAAGGAGCAAATGCTGCCTAAAAATTTCTAAAGCTCGAGAAAGGCTGAAAAATTCTGGACAACCGTTCCATTCATCTAATATTTTCGAAGTTTTTCTTCTATTAACCTTCGACTTTCGGAGGTTGTAGTTTTCACAAAGGACCTTGTGAAAATTTCGTCCATAAAGACAAATCGCCTTCCAGATCTTCTAATGAAAATACGGCCACTCCATGCCATCGAACGTCCGACTGGATCCATTAGGGTAGCTAACAGTTTCGGATGCGACGAAAATGCCATATAAAACGTTTGAGACGACCATGTTCCCTGAAAAAGTGACATGCCATGACATCCGAGAAGATAAACACTTTTACGGGGACCAAACGAGCCTCAAATGGTTCTCTAAAGCGTAGAGAAAACCATATGAGACACTTGCGAACTATTGGAAACATTTGGTGGCCTCTGGGAAGGTACTTTGGCCAAAGAATTACGCATTCAAAACAGTTTGAAGGAACACTTTGTTCATACTGGACCTTTCATTATTTTTGCTCTGTTCACACCGAACTTTGAATGGGAAGGCATCTTAATTTTCGTACGTTTAAGGTGGTTCCGTGTGAACGCAACACCTTAAACGAACGCAATTTCAACCGGTCGAAAATTCGTCCGGTGCTGTGTCAACGTCAAACTGGCTGTTAAACGGCTAATGGACTTCAGCGTTAGGTGATCATTAACGGCTTTACACTAACGATAAAGGTGCATTGTTGTAGCTTTCTTGTGGCCACAAAGCGAATTAATAAGTTTAGTCAAGCATGACGTGCCCATACATGTATAAATTGAAAACACGGGTTTTCAGGTTGGTAAGTAGTTTTTCCTTAATTTAATTTTCTCTCGATTTTGCCCTTTATGCTCTTCCAGAATTGTTCGTGTGGATAATAACATTTAAAAAAAATAACATTCATGTTAATTGGACGATAATCGAATTAATGTATTCGAGTGATGACATCGAAAGTCGCCGTTGACACAAAAATAAAGATACCGTCAGGCTTGTTGACATTTCGGATCGAAAGACGCTAAGATTATTGAAATTAAGAAGACGCTTATACGACCCAACAACTTCAAACTCGCCGGCCGATCTTTCTCAATATGGCGGAATCCCTTGCCCGGCCGAGAGATAAGAGCTGGATTTTTGAATATTACCCGGTAAATAACCTTTTGTTGTTGTTCATGTCGTTTTAAATGTAGTAAATGCCGTATGAACTTTCGTTTCTTTTCATTTTCCATGTCACATTACTAGTAACGGATTACATCTTTCAACTACCGTCAAGAGAAAATTCCATGGGTTTTTAGTTTTTCATTATTTAGTTTTCTTGGCTTTCACTTGAATTCGGGATACATTGTATTTTTTGCATGGGCTATATGCTTCTGATTTGATGCTAGAGAATAACTTTAAAACGGGCACCAGTTCATTAAGCTTGAGGTTTATAATTTTAGAGCCAGTCTGCGTCGTAATTTGCATACATTCTACTTATCGTCTTAATTTTACGTTTACTAGTAAATACTACCACGGTTCGCTCGCCATGGTACATTGGCGATGTTTTTACGAGATAGTTTTCTGCAGGCTACAAAATACGGGAGGAGTGAAATTCTCTTGATTCACTTTATTAGGGAAATTCTAAGCTTCAATTTATTTTGAGTTTAGACACCACAGCTGATACCATCGTGCTGTGCAAATGTATAAGTAAACAATGGCTAGATTTTTTATCTCAACGGAAGTATTGTTTTATCATATCCCTTGAAATTCCTCTGTTAAAAAAATAGAAACCATAGTGTAAGTTCGTGTAACGCGAGAAACTTCTAGAGGATCAGCTCATGGCAGTCATGAGCAGCTCTCTAACGTCACGCTTTTGTATGAAGGTCTTTTTCGAACTTCTGTCGATCTTACCATGTGTGTTTGCCTTTGAGCACCTTTGATTTGAAAAGCAATGGCCACTGATCAAATGCAACTGTAGCCTCTAATGTTGGTTTGGTTGGAGTATAGGAATAGGCTTCCTACAATAGTTTGTCATGCGATCAACTTTAGGTAAACAGGAAACAAGTCTTTTTCGGAAATTGTTTTTAGCATTTATATATATCTCAAAAGTAGCGATTGCAGTGGGGCTCAAATTTTCTCTTGTTCATCACATAAGCAAAGTATCCGACAATTTGAAATAGCAATTTTAAAAAAAAGTTCAAGCAAGATTCTTCTTTAACGGAGCCAGGTGACGTTGATTTCTACCCTCTTTTTGTCTGATCGTTATAAGATTTTGGGTATTGCCCGCCCTCCCTTGATAACCTTCGCAGCAGGCACTTGGAAGTTATATGTCTCCCTTCTTTCTTTCGTCCATTTCTTTCAAGCGCCTCCTTCGTCGCTTACTCCTCCGACGGAAACTTGTGTAGAGGTCTTCCGCCGAGCCCTTTAAACCGTGACCCAAAAATCGTTCATTTCACTGTCCTGTTACTGGCAAGAGACCTTAATTCATGACCCAGATTTCGTCTATTATAAGTAATAATGTTCTTTTTTTGTTCGTGGAATTAGTTTTTTTAAAAAGGCTTTTAGGATACCCTCTTCAAGATACTGAATAGTTAAACTGTATACCCTGACTCAAGACCTTGGATACCGTACCCTGTTCAGTAGTCTCCCTCACTCCCTCGCCGCCGTTTTCGTCTCGTCACGCGATACTCCTTCCTATGTATGATGTTGGCGTTGAGTGACAAACCGGCTGCAAGGGAGATTACCTGTTCAGCTTCACATAGCCGATTAGGCCAAATAAGGGAGTCCTTCCCCTCCGTTGGGGTAACTTCCCACTTCAACGTTGGGACAGGGGAGGGGTAGACCGTTGACCGTTGACCGTTGACGTTGCCTATTTATAATCCATGTTAATTTTGTTCGTCGTAAACCTCCCACGAACCTTCATAGTTCAGTATTCCCTCCTTGTTTTTTTTTATACTTATAACCAAACTAATATTTTAAGGTCCCCCTCAGATTTAAGATAAATGTGTTTGCTGTGAAGTAATGACATACAATATCTTGAGAGAGCTGTGTCGTGTAACGATGATTTTTTTTTTGATAGGAAGGAGCCGAAAAACAGGCTCAGTTGGAAAGATCACTGAGAGAGAAGTCTGCTGTGGAAAAAGAACTTGAAAAGGTGAGAGACAGCCATTTTTGAAGGCTGTGGGAAAGACTTTAATGTAACCCTTTCACCGCTAATAGTAGCCCAAAGAAAAACGTCTTAACAGAGTCAAATCCCTTTGTTAAATCCTAAAACATAAATAGTAATCTTCAAAAGTACGGCCAAAGAGGTTTAATTTAAATGTTAACACCAGAGGGTTTCTCCCGCAGATCGGTACAGGCACTAGGCGACAAGTTGCGGCGACAAATCGCTCCGAGTGTACTGGAGAATTTTTGTGAAAATCTTTGTGGCTGCAAAAGAATTTTGTTGCCGCAACAAGTCGTACAAATTCAATATGATTTGATTTTTTGCGACTTGTTGCAACGTCAAAATTCTGTTGCAGCGACAAAGATTTTCACACAAATTCTCCAGTACACCCGAAGAGATTTGTCCCTGCAACGTGTTGCCGCAACTAGTCGCCGAACCTGTACACACGGAGTGGTCTGTCGCCGCGACTTGTTGCTGCAACTTGTCACCTAGTGTGTACTGATCAACTAGTGACAGATAACCTGTTGAAAATGAGTTCTAGGGCTGAAAGGGTTAAGGATGAGCATGGGAATCAGTCAAGAACATTCCAACAGCGGGTGGATACGATCACATGGCTCGTACAATCTTGAAAAGTCCTTGAATTCAAGTAAGGTCCTTGAAAAGTACCGGATTTAATTTATTAGGTCATGAAAAGTCCTTAAGTTCACCACGTTTTCTACCCCAGAAACAGTTTTCTGTAAGATAGTATTTACTTGAAGATTCCTGGAAATAGTTTTGTGGATGTGTCTTTCTCGGAAAGTGGCGTTCGTCAAGCGAATCGACCCTACCTACCGTTCCTACCAAAGGTTTCGTACTGAGTCTTGAATTCTTAAAAAAGTCTAGAAATTTGCCCAGCTATTTTCCAGACCTGGGAAAAAGTCTGGAAGAGATGAAGTCTGGAAAAAATGATAAAAAGTCTGGAGTTTTTGTCTTTTTTTTTTTCAAATCTACAACAAGTGCGTTATAAGTTTATTTTTTTTTTTCGTTTTTTTTTTTTAAGTCTTATTCAACCTCTTCCGTATGTTTCCAGCGCACCACGAAAAAAGCTTGGTTCCTACGTTTTAAGGTCTCTGTTGATCACCTGTTTGATAACCTTGAGACTGGAGAAAGAAATTATTGTTTTGGAAAAAGTTCTGGAAAAAGTCTTGAATTTTGAATCCAAAAATCTGTGTGAACCCTGTTACTAGCTCTTTGCGTGACATCTTTTTTTCGTTGGTTTTTTTTCTCAACCCATTAGTCCCTCATGCTTGCAAAGATGGTCGGTATAGAGAATAAGACGCTTTGTAAGATTGTATCGTTTTTATTGCTGGTATAATATGCATCGCGTTTTCCTTTCAGTTATACCAAGAGGGCCCTGCCGAAATCGCACGAGCTGGAATGACATTTGATGAATTACAGAAACGGGCCGGTCAAGCCGAAAGAACCCGGGACGAGGCTTTGCGAAAGGTGGATGGCCTGAATTCCACGCTCAAAAAACTGGAAACAAGGTGAATATCTCCCGAAGGGGAGGTGAATAGTGGTGGATGGTTGTAAATTAAAAAGTTTAACGTCACCTAGTAGTAACTTTGTTTACCATTTAAAAACATTTAGGGGATTTTGCGAAGTGCATTTTTACGTTTTTGTTGCAAATTGAGCATGACATTCATTTTCAACCCACCAATAAACACCCACAAGCCAAAGTTCGTCTCTTTCTTGGTATTTGTTGGTACGACTGCTTCATAATACATTAAAAACTGGCGATTCAAAACCCGCATTTTCCCAAAGAGATTCTAACATGTGTGGGTATGTAAGTGGTATATAAATTAGCATAGATCTAGGCTATTCAGGTTCTTAAAGAGGTTCTTACTTTCTCAAAAAAAAAAAACATCGTAGCTAAAAGTTTTTAGTGGTATTCAGGTTATTCCTTGTATAAATTTCAGTTTACACACCAGATTGGTATTTATTGATTGGTTCCATTGTAGTGTTCAAATGCACTGAGTGAATGAGTGATAAAGAAAAGAAAAAGAAAAAACGGGCGCGCGAGAAGGAGACACGCGTGTCTCCCTCGCGCGCGCCAGTTCTCTCTTTCGCCCACTACTTTCAAGCGCCTACTACGCAGGCTAGCAGCTCCCATGCATTTATACCAGTCGTTCTCTCGCTTTTTTTGACTAGGCATGAACAGGAGAAATCACAGGGTGCCTCCGAAAGTACCGAACTAAGAAGAAGAATTAAACAACTGGAGGAAGAAAACGAAGAAATGTCAGATAACAGACTTCAATTAACAGGTATAATACTTACTAAATGAAGTCGGTTAACGTACTGTTTAACAGCTAAACTCTTTTAGATATCAGGGTTAGCAATAACGGCTTAGGGCCTGTTTACATGGTGGTGAGGGACCCCAGGTAGGTGAGGTAACCCGCTTAGGTGGGTTAACCCGCCTGTCCATATGATCTCTCATTTTAATTTGATCATGTTTACATGATAGGTGGGGTGACCCGCAGAATGTTACCTTACCTATCTGGGGTCCCCCACCTCCATCTAAACAGGCCCTTAGACCGCGGTTTTCAAGGTTGGTCAATTCTGTGCTAACGTATTAATTAGCGCCTTTACCCATACACAAAATGCTCCGGATCATTTTACGTTTCTGTGAAACTGCCCACCTACCCCACCCCTAAACCAACGTTAACACTTAGTTCTTACTTAGGGCAAAATGTTGGCTTTGGGGAGGGGTAGGCGGGCAGTTTCACAGAAACGTAAAATGATCCAATGCTCCTGTAGAGTTACGAAGAAGATATCAAACCAAATAGGCCATTTCCGAGTTCCCCCGGGCCTCTGTTTCAAAACGAGGGTAGGTGCTCAGTCTTTGATATGGAAATCATTTTTCATTCTCATGCAAATAAAACTCATTTTCATAAGAAGGGTTCTGCACCTAGCCTAATTTTGAAAGTGAGGGTTTTTGGAACTCGAAAGTGGCCTATTCACCAAGGAACACTAACCATAATAATGAATTGGTGATTTTTGCAGGTATATCATTAAAACTTGAAAAATTGGCCCTATAGTTTCGAGTTTTATTTCGTCTTGCAACAGACGTCATGACGCAGTTTCAGTGCCTGAATGTAGTCTTAAATAGCAAAACATTATTTTTGGAATTTCATTCATGCAAAAACACGTTTTAGCTTGTTATCGTGATAATGTGACATAGTCCCTTTTAGGGCTTGATTAACGTTTTCAGGATTTCTAATATTATAACCTGGAACTAGGCTCCGTAGTGGGTTGAAAAGGCAAAAAACGGAGTGAAACAGCAAAAATGGTGGACTGGGGAGGGGAAAGAGCGATGCCACCCTCCTCCCTTTCAAGACTTACGCTCGACTCGCTTCCCTTGCCGATTTCTTTTTCGCCCTCGCCGATTTTTGTCTCGCCATTTTCCCCCCACTGCGGAGCCTAAACCTTGTGAATTGTTTCTTAACTTTCAGATGAAATAGACAAACAAAAACGTGAAATTCTCTCCGCTAAACAAGCTAAAGAAACTGCTGAGCATCAATGTGTCACAGAGGTATTTTTTGCAATCATTTTGTGTTTTGTTTGCTCTTTCGAATCCGTCTGTCTGTTGAGCTAGCTGGCTTTCTTCATTTCTTTTGTTTCCACCCCACCAAAAGGCCGGGTTGGCTGGGTGGACTTGTTATTCGGAGGCCCCGAGTTCAAGTTCCGCCCTAACCGTAAAGTCTTTATTGGTTTGTGCGCAACGGGTGTGTCGTAAGGTTGGAGAATGTGTTCACTTATATGTATTACCATCATTTAGGTTGCATCGCTAAAGCAACAGCACGAGTTACGTGAAAGTGAATTTGATTCACGACTCCGAAACATAGAGGAGATGAACAGGCGGGCGGTGAATGAACTCAGAGAAATGCTGACGGCGCAGCAGAAACTCGGAGCACAGTGAGTAAAAATCACATCCTGTTTTCATTTGTTGGCTATCAAAATTCCCTAAAAAATTAACGTTAAAAGTAATGACGGGATTGCTTTGTGTTTGCAGAAGTGCCGCTCTATACTTTCTCGACCAATCAAGGGGAAAAACAAATTTTATTGGTGCATGCAAAAGTTCTTTACTTTGACTGATTGGTTCATTTGAATGTTTTCAATTGTGTGGCAAGTGATTTCGTAATTGCTTTGTTTTTCCATTGCTATAGTTTGTGATTGGCTGAAAAATCTCGTGTCACATTCTCAACCAATCGGAAGGTAAAGCCATAACCAATCGTGACTTGCTCGACTGTGTTTTCCCGCGCTTGTTCGCTTGGTACCTGTTACATCTAGGCTACTTAACATTTACATGGGGAAACCGCAAATCCGGTTGGAAAACCAAAAAAGTCGCTTAAATCCATTATTTTAGGAAGCTTCAAAAAATTTGGCCATGATTTTAGGTGATCCAAATCTTTCTACCGTTTTAGTGTCTTCAACTGATTTGGATCTACTTCTTGTCCTTCTGCCACAACGTTAAGTTTAATTTTTAAATGTCTTTGCACTAGATTTCCAACCGGTTTCAAACCGGATTCGCGTTAGTGGTGAAAACTCGGTTCCTGAAAGGCCCGATAACGCTAACCAGGATTAAGATTTTAATCCTCAATTGTATTTACCTCTCTTTAGATTATAGAGATTAAGAATCACGTTTACAGAAAACGGCAAAGTCAAATTCAAGTTGACGATTGTATTTAAAAATACTTGACAGATTACTTTTCATCTCAATACTCTGATTGTATGTGATCGGTCTTGAATTTCGTCGCTAATAGTTCTCTAACTGGGGGCTATTGGTAGAGCTAAGATACTTTATAAGCGGTAATCTGGTCTTGTTGATTATATTTATTTGATAATTTCAAAAGGTTGACTGATTTTCTGATGAAATATTTAAGTTATTTAAACTCGCGATGTTTTTAAAATAAAAAGGGAAAAAAAACCAACGACGAGGATGGGATTCGAACCCACGCGTGCAGAGCACATTGGATTAGCAGTCCAACGCCTTAACCACTCGGCCACCTCGTCTCTTACATTCCACCTGCTATCTACAGCTTATAAATTACTGGTTTAGTGACAACTGACAGTGCTTAGTAAATCCTTAAAAATTCAGTTTTTGCTTTTTTTAACTGCTGAATTTAAGCTTTTCATCCAGGTATTTTGTGCGTCTTTTGCCTATATGCTGTTTATAACAAATCTCATGTTTCTCGCAAGTTGTACCTAAATTCTCGTCACCTGTCGACTTCCGCGTCCCATTTTTGGACTTTACGTGTCTTTGATAAATATCGTTGTGTGATGAATAAAAATAATACACTGTTAATAAAAATTGAAACAAGTTTACAATCTAACTTGTACTACAGGTGGAAAGAGGAATCCAAAGCGGTAACTCATAAGTTTGAGCAAACGGTGAACGAACTAAGGTAAGTCAATGTTTTGGGTCCGTGTACTATTTTAAAATGTTAGGCTTTTTATAAGACTTAGTTTTCGTAATTGCCCTTTTTCTCCCACCTACTATGAGATGCTTGCTAAGTCGATGAAAATTTCCAAGGCAACCGATCTGGTCGCACGGTTTTTTTATTATTATTATTAAATCGCTTTCTGTCAGAACGTTGCGGAAACCTATTTTCTTAACATTTGCAGATGCAAAGATTATAAATCATTTTTGAAAAAGGAAAGGTTTAGTTCAACCCTTTACTCCAATCATTCACAGATTCAAATTCATTTTCAGGGTATTTTAAGGCTTAGATTCAACGTAAAATATTGGCCACGTGTAGAAATTAGGGTGAAATCAAATACTACACACTTTTGTGCCTTCATATTTGAAAAAATACCATCTCCCTTAGGTTCTTACACCTTTTGCTGTTCATTACGAGAAAATGCGCAATCATTTGCGTGAAACTGCGATCAATAGTGCGAAGATACATTCATTAGCGCGAAAATACGAACATTTGCGCATAAATCAGATTCAATAGCGATTTTTGCATTTTAATCAACACTCAATAACACTTTTGGGCATTCATATGCGTCATTCGGCATACAAAAGCGAAAAATATACTTTCATTTGCGCTAGTATGCAAGTCATTAACACCATCTTGAAAGTCAATAGGGACAATAAACAAACATTAAAGTGAAAAAACCATTTATTAACATTTCTGTCACACTGTTTGCAATTCAATAGAATTCCTGGGCAGCCTTAGTGTGGATAAGACAAACATTAATGCACTTGTACAAACAATTACCCGTTCTTTAAATTCAATAAACAAAAAACGATTTTCAATGAAACAATACCTATTTTGCTTGAAATTTTCATTGCTAGTGCGATGCACATGATATGTACATGTATGTACAACCCTTTAGACAGGTTACGTAACCTTTGTCAAGTGCAAATAGGATAAAAGGATCAGAAAATTTCGTCCTGTTCATTTCACTTCGTGAGCGTTTTTTGACTACTGGTACAAGTACACGTAAAATGCCACGAAGAAATCGAATTCCTCTCGAACACAGAGAGAGAATCGTTAGAGCGTTTGAGGACGAGCAGGAAGACTATCTTTTAGTCGCAGACACGTTGGGCGTGAATCGATCAACGGCAAGGGGTATCGTTTCGCGTTACATCACAGAGGGCAGGATCCAGGAGAGACCTAGAGGTGGGAGAAACAACGTGCGCGTTGATGATGAGATGAGAGACTCTCTAGAGCAAATTATCAACGAAAACTGTCTGCTCACACTTGCTCAAATAAACAGTGAGTTGAGGAGACGGTTACCAGCCAAACCGGAGATACACGACCGCACCGTATCAAGAACGTTAGACGGGATGCTGTTCCGAGTGAAACTGGTAAGACCACTCCCTGCTGACAGAAACAGACCTGACGTGCTGAACAAGCGGGTCGATTACGCTAACTGGTTTATGAACCACGCCATAGTCCGCCACTGTGTGTTTGTCGACGAATGCGGCTACAATATTTGGACGGCCAGAAGTCATGGCAGGGCGCGGCAAGGAGAGAGGGCGTACCGCCAAGTGTGCGGGCAGCGTGGACGAAACCTGACCGTGACAATGGCAATATCGCCCATAAACGGACTTGTGTTTTCGTCAGCCGCTGTGGGAGGAATGAACGCTGAACGTTTTAACAACTTCCTGGCACAGGCGAGGACGAACTTAGATCCTGACGAGTCGGTGATCTTTGTTTATGACGGAGCGCCGGCCCACAGAAACCCTACCATTCCCGCCCCAAATACAGAGCTTAAAATGCTTCCACCCTACAGCCCTTTCCTCAACATCGTGGAACAGGCAATAAGCAGTCTTAAAGCGGCCATCAAGGCCGACATTTCCCGCCCTGAAATTCAAAGACTTATGGACAACAGAGATGAAGCAAGAGCCCGAAGAATGCCACTAGGAGATTTTCGAACACAACAACTTCTTGAAGCTCTACACAGAAACATCGACACCGTGACCGCAGCTAAATGTGCTCAATGGTTTCGTTTAATGCAGACCTACCTGCCAAGATGTTTAAACAGAGAGGTTATAGAGGGATAGACTAAAATTCAGGACAAAATAGTTTGAAATAGGTACTATTCAATTGAAAATCGATTTTTGTTTATTGAATTTAAAGAACGCGTAATTGTTTGTACAAGTGCATTAATGTTTGTCTCATCCACGCTAAGGCCGTCCAGGAATTCTATTGAATTGCAAACAGTGTGACAGAAATGTTAATAAATGATACATGCACTTTAATGTTTGTCTATTGTCCTTATTGACTTTCAAGATGGTGTTAATGATTTGCATACTAGCGCAAATGAAAGTATAGTTTTCTCTTTTGTATGCCGAATGACGCATGTGAATGCCCAAAAGTGTTATTGAATGTTGATTAAAATGCAAAAATCGCAATTGAATCTGATTTATGCGCAAATGTTCGTATTTTCGCGCTAATGAATTTCTATTTGCGCAATTGATCGCCGTTTTACGCAAATGATTGCGTATTTTCTCGTAATGAACAGCAAAAGGTGTAAAGCGATCTTCCTTAAGGCCCGGTTCAGACGCCGAACTTTTCATGAGCCGAACCTAATTCAAATTAAGGCCTACCCGAATTATTTAGACTGGCTGAATTGATTCAGACACCGATCATGATATCAGCCGAACTAAATTTTAAAAAAAAACGCTCTCTTCGTTAAACATCTTGCAAAATATGTTATAATTATATATGCGCCAGGTTCTACATATGAAAAGTTCGGTGTCTGAATCAAAGCCGTCCCAGAGTCGCTCAAAAGTTGAAATTCCCGGCTGGGATAGGGGTAAAGAACGGTTGAGCCGTTTCGAATTGAAATAGGCGTTGCTAATTTATTAAGACGCCGAACTTTTCGTGTATACACTACTTAATTCAATCTGTTCGGTTCGGCTCGTGAAAAGTTCGGCGTGTGAACTGGGCCTGAGTTTCTCCTGGTTAAATAAGCGCTGTAATCATAGGGATTTAAAGAGTTGTAGAGAAAGATCACCTTAAATGTAAACTTGTGATGTTAAATCAGCCTTATGGCTGGGCCAATACAATACGCGCTATGGGAGAGAGTGGAGGAGGCTTGGAACCAAGCGCGATAGCGCGAGTCCTTCCAGGCGAATTCTCCTGACTAAGATCTAGTTTTGTGGACTTCATCGGTCTGTAGTTATCAGCAACTTCGCTGTTTTTACCTTACCAGACAAGAAATTGGCAAGCAAAAACGAAGAAATGATGACCTTAACAGTCAGCTGAATGAGGAACGAATGAGGCGACAAGAGGTACAAGTCGTGAAGTATTTTAAAATACTTTTGTTTCATGAAATCAAGCCTTGTGAGATTCTTAATTGTGAACTAAACGACGGGAAAGTTACATGATGTCCATTGGGTTTCCTTTGTTTTTTTTCGGTAGCTGTTTAATTTCAATTGCTATTTTTAAAAATATAAAAACCCGCAGTTCTAAAGCCGCTAAAAGGTGTATTTGACTAAGCACTAGAGATGTCTTCACTCTGTGCTTGCATCGTTCAATTACGGGTGTCAATCATCATAGCATACGCCCAAAGAAAATACGGTTTCGCAGGCGTTTCACCAAACTCAATTAGGTTCCCTGTACATGTGCTTATGCCTTGCCTGTAAACATGGGGTGCCTTATCTCACTTGCTGCATCGCTCCTCTCAGAGTCTAGTACACCCTTTCTGTCTCCAAACAGTACAGGCTGTTCGCATAAAGAGCCTTTCAAGCACTCCTGTATTGAAGAGCCAGTCATTTTCGCTGTCGAAATACAAGGACGGAGTTGCTGCTCGATTGCTATAGCGAATAATGAAATTCTTTCTGATTTCTGGCTTGATCTCAATAGCTGGAGTCCAGGCTCTCTGCGTCTAAGGTGTCCCAAGAAAAACTTCAAAGTATGATCGTTGACGCTGAAACCAGGGCAGATGCTGCCAGCTCTCAGGTAAGTAAATTAACTCCCAACTTTTTATCATAGACAGCTAGACGCGGTGAATGCGAAAATCCAATATCTGCCAGACGAGGGAGAACGCGTGGAAAAGCCATTAAGCTTTTAAGTAATTGTCCATTTAACATCTAGCCAGGCAGAGTGAAAAATCGATTAAAAAGTTTAAACTTTTAATCATTATTTTTCAATTAAATCGTGGGTTCTGATTGGACCTAAATCCAAAATCGCCGAAAAAAAAAGTAAACAAACGAACAAAGAAAATCCAGCATATCTATGCGCCAATCAAAAGTTAGAGAGAAAAAAGTGCCGCACGAGCGACCCAGTTGAGACGCCATCTTGGATCCCTAATTTCGAGCTGTTGAGGAGTTTTTCTTCTGCTTCTATAATCTTGTTAATTTCTTTGTAATATCCACAAGTTTCATTTTATTGAATACAAATATATATTGTTTATCGCAAATTGAGACTATTTATGAATTATCGTCGGAGGGATCGCCCAAATACCCTTCAGCAAGGTTTGCTACTGTCCTCAACACGACGCGTGGGGATTTGGACAAGTGGGCCCAAAGCAGTTGTTTTCGCTATCGTATCAGGAAACGTTTCACGCGATTTTCAAACTGAAACATTGTCATTTTTAATTGCCAGGTAACAACTCTCCTAAATCGGGAGAGGCAACTTTTGCAGGAAAGAAAACTCGTTAACCGAGAGTTCGAACGACTTAAATTAGAAAAAAGTCGACCTGGATCTAACAGAATTCGGGAGCCTCCTCAGCGACTCTCTGATTTGCTGAGCACGCCAGGCATAGGCGTAGTTATGCATGAGCCCGCAGTTCGATTGGACCTCATGTCTCCAAGAGATGATGGCGGTTATTCACGAGAACTTGACGGAATTGGTTCACGAAATATTTTCAATGGATTAGCAAGAGACCGAGTCATACTTTGACGTAATGGAACGTTTTAGCTTAACCTTCGACCTTTCTAGCCCCTTATCCAAACTTTGGACGGTGTATTGTGGTGCCAACCTTCAAACGTGTGTGTGAAAAGGCAATTCATTTATTCATGTCATTTTGCATCAAGTACCAAATGCTTAGTCAAGATTTCGATTGTGTTATTGCTGTTTAACCCTCACTGGGATTTATTTACTTGAAAAAGAGAGGGAAAATGAACTAAATTCTGGTAGCTGTAGCAAAATGACCGCGCTCGTAAAAACTCCCTCTTGCATAGATTGGCTATACTAAGGAAAGGCACGGAGCAGTACCTCTATGTGAGCTGTTTAACATTCCTTCCTTTCTTGTGGTTCTGCCGGAAGTCAGTCGAATGAACATGTGGACAATAGGGACATTTTTGCCCCTCATGAAAGTAGTCATGTTTGTGTTCTTGGAGACGAGCCACCTCAATTATGTGTGGATGGGTCGTACTGACAGCCATACAAACAACCCCTATCTGCTGATTTAGTTGGACACCAGGTTTTGGGCTGAAAATTTGGCGAGAAGTGAATCCTTTGTGTGCACCAAGCCTACGTTACTGACAGCACAGCACAGGAAACTTTGTGTCGCCTCCTGAATGAATCCAATCATGCACTTGGGGTTTATCAAAGTCAATGGGGGGCTCACTGGCTGAATATATCTTAAAAGTGTTGTAAACGGACTTAACATAGAAATCCTTTTGTAAACGAGCCCTGTCATACACAATCTCTCGTTATTGATCCTTTTGTATGTGTTGACGAGCAGTTGATGAGGTATGTGTATGTGTCTACACGTAGTTGGATAATTAGTTATTACTGCAGAAATGCTTATTGACCTTTCGCTCTATTGTACGCGCGTGAACGATTTTATTATATTCTCTTTGTGGAAGTAGTTTTTTTATCAACCAGCGAGTGAAAAATGTTACAAAACTCTAATTTATTGTAAATAAAAGTATTTCCTTATTTATGTCCTCATTATTTTAATATTTTAACTCGCCTTTGTAACTGTTTGCTTACCAGTTCAACTCGCGCTTTTTCCCAAATAGCTCCTGAACCTCCATCACCGATGATTACAGAAGAAACAAAAAAACAAAATGGGCACTGTCGTCCGATAACATGACTTCATTTATTGCTTCTAACAAAACGAGTAGGGGTGTTCTATCAGTTTCAAAACACGTGGTTGGTTGAAGTAAAAAAATATATATAATGTAATAATGTGTCCATTTTTACCTTTGTTCATAGCGGTTTGCGCTTGCCATCCTTCTCCATGAGGTCATTTTCAACTCTAACCTTGTCGCCGTTAGTGCCGTTTTTCGTCCAACTTTACATTTAACAAAGGAGAAATTCTAAGTTGTTTCCGTAAAGTGAAACAAATTTATTATGGTGGAAGTGCTCTTAGCTTCTTTAGTTAGTATATGACACTCTACTAAAATAATTTGCAGCAAGTAAAACAAATATAACTTAACATTATTAAAAACCCAAACTGGCTGGAGGCAACCGGTTTTCTATTTAGTATTTTCAATGGTATGACCGATGAGTTGAACGAGAATCACTATCAGATTAATGATTAGAGAGGGAGTCCTCTGGCAAGCTCGGGACCGCCGGGGTTGCGCGCTTGACTCGCTGACCACGCGGCCACGCTGCCCCTGAAACGTATCGTGAACAGAAAGCTTCAGTTAAAGCTTGCAAATATTATAAAATGTCTTTCCGTCGTGCTTAATTTCAATTGACCACTCCAGAAAATGCCATAACATTCCATAATGCTCTTTGTTTGTCCCCCCAAAATTTTGCATAAGCATTGTTTTCAGTTTCCCTTGGGGCCATTGTAACTCTCAAGGGAAACTGAAGACAATGCTTATGCAAAATTTTGGGATGACAAACAAAGAGCGTTATGGTATGTTATGGTATTTTCTGGAGTGGTCAATTCCTTGTTTTTCTATCCTGTTCAGCTATCCAGTATATAATGAACATAGCCTTAGTGGGTCTCCCCATGAAGGGTAATCTGGATTCCGAAATCCGGTAAAATAATGCTTGTGGAATTCGAAATCCTGGGAAATCAGCTCAAGGAATCCGAATCCCGACAATAATTGGAATATACCAAGTCCCACTGACAAAGAATCCGGAATCCAGTGCCTGGAATCCTGAATTACAGATGGCCAGTTCGAACATTATACGTTTCTGGGAAACTACCCACCTACCCCTCCCCTGAGCCAACGTTAACAACGCGTGTTTCCTGTTGCTCAATCACTCCTATATGACACTGCGTCGGTGGGGAATGAGCAAACAATATAATGATCCTACCTCTTTAAAATCTTCTACTGGCCTACCAGAGATGAAATTATATCTATTTATAACTCTACAGGTCAGTTTCTGTATTGTTAGGTTTACTCATTTTTATTATTTATTAATTTTTTTGCCTGCCTCGAATGGCGTTTTGTGTTAAATTGCAGACGCACTTGTAGTGTACCAAGAGAGGATAGAGGACCTACTTGTGAATAAAGAATCGCAGAGGTCAGGGTTCGAATTCCGGCAAGCCTTAATTTTTCAGGCCTTCTTTCGCAACAGTATAAGTTGCCTGCTACACAGCCGTTTTTAGTGTCGCCACGCAACGCTCCTCCCCACTTAGTGGGGAGGAGCGTTGCGTGGCTGTGTAGCAGACTGCAGTATAAGCTGCTTATTTAACTGCGATGATCTTCTCTATATTTATTTCTTCATCCCGCAGTTCAAATATATGACAGTCATATACTGTCCTCCCTTCAAAGTTTTGTTTGTGGCTGTTGTTGTTGTTGACTATCGTTTTTTTTTTTTGCCCCAATAATCCAGGATCGAACAAAACAAAACAAGCAACAACTAATAAACAACACATATATTACCAAAAGATCATTTGTTGGCTTCGTTGTTCCTGAATTGCATTCATGTACGTGAATCTGCGGCGAGACTGTACCGTTTAATATTCTGACCGTTTATCCGCTTTTCTT